AAAACTTAAGCTATTGTGTAGTGCTGCATACCCATTTATTTTCTCATCCGGATCCGATGTGGGACAAACTCCCTCTTTTAGCACACCCACAATACACCCATGATAGTGTCCACTAATGCACAGGACACACAGAGCTCAAAAGAATTTGTACTCTCAATCTCAAAGGCTATGCTTGGTATAGTGGAAAAGAAATGAAATTAAATAATAATATTAGTTAGGAAAGAAAATAAAAGAAAGGAAATGAGATAATATTGTTAATCATTTATTGTGTTTGGTTTACTAAGAAAGAAAAAGAAAGAAAATGAAACTATTTTAATGAATTTATTATCATACCCATTTTTATAGATTTTGTCTTTTATAAGAGTAAGGACAAAATTGATATTAATAAAGTTTCATTAAAAATGATTGTCTTTCCTTCCCTTATTTTCCATTTCCTTTCACTTTTGGAAGGATAACAAAACCAACACATGTTGCCTAAATTCAGGGTTTTTAAATTTAGTGGTAAGTGCAAAAAACCCTTTATCGGTATAGTGTAAAAAGGTCCCTGTGTAGTATAAAACTCCTATCAATTTGGTGCAAATACCCCCCTATTTGCATAAAAAGACTATGATACCCTCTTGTCAATGAATTATATTTATTTTTCCTATTAATCAAAGTATTGTGATACAATAATATGGGGACCAATTTTTTTTTTTTTTTTTTTTTTATGAAAAATAACAAAGCTATATATATATATATATATATATATATATATATTATATTTTGTTTCATCATAGACCAAAAAAAAAAAAACACTAAAGAACATAATTGAAAAGATAAAAGTAAATGATTTTATATGTATAATTGAAAATTTAAAATTTTCTTACCAAAATTTATTAGGAAGAATAAACAAATAATTTGAAAGCATTATATAAAATATGAAATTATATCTATATAGTTTTCATATAATTTTAGACCTAAATAAATAAATATATAGATTTAATATAATTAAAAGTAAAATTGTATAGTATTCATATAATCTGTGACCTAAAAAATAAATATTTACATTTAATATGTTTCATACTGACACCAAAACTGTAAAACATTCATATACTCTTTGACCTAAAGAAATAAATATTTGCATTTAATATGATTCATATTTAAAGTAAAACAAAAAAAAAAAAAGCCAAAGTAAAAGAAAACATATTCTTTGATCTTGATGAAATGAGAAAAGGGCAAATTAGGATTTTTAAATTTACTTTATGTCAATTTTGAACAAAAAGTGGTTAGAGGAGCTTATTTGCACATTTTTTTTAATTTTATGGAATGAAATACACATTTTAAAAAATGAGGGATGCATTGTGCACATAAACTATATTACATGGGGTTTTTTTTGCACTTAACCCTTAAATTTACTTTATGTCAATTTTGACTAAAAAGTGGCCAGAGGGGCTTATTTGCACTTTTTTTTGAATTTTATGGACTGAAATGTATATTTTCAAAAAGGAGGGACTACTTGTGTACAAAACCTATATTACAAGGGCTTTTTTTTTTTTTTTGGTACTCAACCCCTTTTTTCAATTATTTAGGGTATAGCTACATGAATTGTATGTTTCAATTCTGCTTTACATAAAGTTTTAATCTTAGTCCATCCATATGCTATCATATATTTCTTTTTCTTCTCTTCCTTTTTAATATTATTCTTAATTTTTTCCCCCCCCAAAGTATTACCTGAATTAGACTATGTCAATTTTTCTAACCTATACACACAAAAAGTCTTATTTGCACATGTCCAAACCATCTTAACCAATTTTCTTTCATAATATCAATAATATTATGCTACCAAATAGATAATGTCATTTAACAGTAACCTTAATATAAAGAACATGTAGCAATAAAAATTGAGAAGTCATTACATGTTACATGGTCCTGTGCCGAACACGCAACTAAATGTGTTAATTTTGTATCAGTTTTATTAAACTTTTTTGTTTACGTGAAACAATGATGGGTCGGGAACAATAATTCTAGGATCGTATAATAAATTCTTATATATATATATATTGTATTTTTGATTAGTTAAGACATTAGTATACTTATACACTGTAACGGATGGGCACTTGCATACCTATCCATTTTTTCATCTGGATCCGATATGGGACAAATTTCCCTTTGTAACATTATTCCCTACCTGAACTCGTAACGCCCTTATTGCAGCTCGGGCTACCCTGCCTATTCGGGGTGAAAACCTAAACGTTTGAAGGCGCTTGACATGACACTGGATCAATTACTGAGTCTGCTTCTAATACTAACTATAACGGGTGGGTGCTTATCCATTTACCCAAAAACTTAAGCTATTGTGTAGTGCTGCATACCCATTTATTTTCTCATCCGGATCCGATGTGGGACAAACTCCCTCTTTTAGCACACCCACAATACACCCATGATAGTGTCCACTAATGCACAGGACACACAGAGCTCAAAAGAATTTGTACTCTCAATCTCAAAGGCTATGCTTGGTATAGTGGAAAAGAAATGAAATTAAATAATAATATTAGTTAGGAAAGAAAATAAAAGAAAGGAAATGAGATAATATTGTTAATCATTTATTGTGTTTGGTTTACTAAGAAAGAAAAAGAAAGAAAATGAAACTATTTTAATGAATTTATTATCATACCCATTTTTATAGATTTTGTCTTTTATAAGAGTAAGGACAAAATTGATATTAATAAAGTTTCATTAAAAATGATTGTCTTTCCTTCCCTTATTTTCCATTTCCTTTCACTTTTGGAAGGATAACAAAACCAACACATGTTGCCTAAATTCAGGGACGGATTTATGAATTCATTTTTGGGGGGGGGGGGGGGGGGGGATGGGAATTTATATAGAAGGGTTTTTTCATAATTTCAGTGGGGGCAATTTTAAAATTTTATGGGTATAAATGCAAAAAAATATAAATTTAAAGGTATAAAATGCAATAATAAAAAATTTCAGTGGTGGCCGATGCCCCACTGAGCCCTTCACAGATCCGTGCCTACCTAAATTGTATCCTTCCAAATTTTGCCCTTATTTTTGAAGGGTGATGGAAGTAAAAAGAAAGAAAAGGTAATATAAGGAAATGAAATATCAAGTTTGGCCATGCATCATTAAAGGAAAAGAAAGGAAATGGAGAGATTTGAAAGGATACAATTTAGGCATCTTGGTTGGTTTTTTTATCCTTCCAAAAGTGGGAGGAAATGGAAGGAAATGCAATATTTTTTAATGAAACTTTATTAATACCTATTTTGCTCTTATTTGTATAGAAGACAAAATATATAAAAACGGGTATGATACTAAATTCATTAAAATAGTTTCTTTCCTTTCTTTCCCGAAACATGATTAATATCATTTCATTTCTTTTCATTTCTTAATCAACCAAATACAATAAGTGGTTAACAATATCATCTCCTTCCTTTTCTTTTCTCTCCTAAGTAATGTTATCATTTCTTTTCTTTTCCACTATACTAATGATATATACCAAACATGATATTTCATTTCATTCTATTACATTTCCTTTCTTTTCCTTCCATCACCCTCCAACCAAACTGGGCCTCATACCACTAAATTATTCCTTTTAAAAAAATTAATCATTTGAGTTTTTATTTTTAATATATAAATATATATGTGTGGAAATATATATATATATATATATATATATATATATATATATATATATTAAAATTAAGATTTAAATTAATTAATTAAGTGTAACAAGTCTTAATAAAATTAAGGATAGAGGTTTCGGTCAATGTCACTCAGATGAGAGTCAACGACTTTTTAACAATAACAGCCCTTGTAGTTTCAAATGTCATATTTGCCCCTGATTATTTAATTCAATTAATTTACAAAATTTCAGCTCTATTAATTAACGAAACTATCATTATCATTAAGCCTCTTTCCCTACCCTAATATTTAAATTTTTTTTTTTTTCATTTTAGTACATAGCTGCCGACACTCATTCATTCCCCTCTTTCTTACTAAGTTGTTTATTATTATTATTTTTGATAAATTGCACCCCTCATCATTTTTCTCGTCGGTTAAGGAGCTACCGGTGACTGATGGAGGGAAACGTAACTGGCGGTGGAGGAGATGGCGGCTAGGGCAAGTTAATTCATAGGATTTGGGAGAAAAATGTTGCTGTGTGATGGTTGTGGTGGTGTTGGATTTGTGACTGATATGAGTAATAGAAGGAAAATGCGTGTGAAGGAGAGATGAGAATTGGTGGGAATGGTGAGATAAAAACAGGCATTATTGTTTTATTTTTTTTGTTTTTTTGGTGGTGGTGGTGGTGGTGTCATCTGGGGTGGACATGGCTTCTTTTTTTTTTTTTTTTTTTTTTTTTTTTTTTTCCTTATTGTTGTGGTGGGTCTAGGCTGGGCATGGATGTTTTTTAATTCTACTATGGTGGTGGTTATGGTGGTGTCTTGGTTATCAGGATATTTCAAAAAAAAAAAATTTCTATTGTGGTGATGGTGGTTTTGGTAGAGTCTGGTTATGTTGGTAGTGTTGTCTTGGTGTGGTGGTGGTTATGGTGGTATAAATATTATTAAATATAAATTATATCTATATGTGTAGAAGAGATGAAAAGATTAGTTTGGTCTATTAAATTTAATTAGAAGGTTAAATTTGTAATTTCATGATTTAAATTGAGTTGTTGACAAGTCAAAGGGTTAAAATATAATTTTATATGATTTAAGAGGTTTGGAAAGGTGTCAAAGTAAAAAGGGATAATTTCACTTACCTCCCCTAAGGTTAGGCGTAATTACAGGCAGTACCCTTTACGTTTCAAAAATTACACTGACCTCCCTCCAAATTGATCGGCATTTTATTCCGGCTATTCACCATGTTAAATGACTAAAACACCCTCTAATATTTTATTAATATATATCACATAAAGAATATTTTATTAATATTTTATATATCACTTAAAGACTGTGCAATTAAAGGTTACGACGGAGAAAGGGTCATTGCTTTAAAACGCCCTAAAAGACATGTCGGGATCGGATTTCTTCTCCACAAGGGATTTTACAGCAGAGCCCTGCGACTTCGCCTGCGTGTATTGTGATGGAGACAGGGTCATCACTTTGAATCTCGATGACCCGAGAGCCGGTTCGCCTGGTCTGACCGGACGCCTCAATCCTGCAATCGAAAAACTCTCCACTCTCGCCGAGTTCACCGTTATCCCAAGTCGGATCATTGGCGCTCTGCCTGAAACTTTATCTCAGTTGAACAACCTACGGTTTCTCGCCGTCAACAGGAATTTCATCTCCGGCGGGATTCCGGCGACTCTAGGTCAGCTTCGTACTCTACGAACCCTCGATCTCAATTACAATCAACTCAATGGAAGTATTCCTCAGTCGGTCGCAGGTCTACTGGCGTTGTCAAACGTCATTCTCGGTCACAATCGTCTCTTCGGTTCGGTCTCGACGTTCGTGTCACAAACTCTAACCCGCCTCAACCTCAAGCACAACGCACTCTCCGGTTCTCTTTCACCCACTTCACTCCCTTCTTCAATACAGTACCTTTCATTGTCTTGGAACCAATTAATCGGACCTGTGGATCGGCTCTTAACCCGGCTTAACCAATTGAACTATTTGGACATGAGCCTGAACTCGGTAACATTCCCTTTCATTGTCTTGGAAGAGGTGATGAAGATGAGTTCACGGGTATTTTTTTTTTTTTTTTTCCTGGGTATATAGGTTATTTTAATACAAAACTAAGGGTTAAAATGTCTTTGCAAATATAGTAAGGGCAAATGTGGTATTACATGATTAAAAATAACTGATGTCATCAAAAATCATTATTGACCGGCATTGACTTTCACAGGAGGGGGCTAAGTGTTACGACGAAGCAAACCTCGAGGGAGGACAGTGTAATTTTTGAAACGTAAGGGGTACCGCCTGTAATTACGTCTAAGCTCAGGAAAAATAAGTGAAATTATCCTAAGTAAAAAAAATTATTGACCATTCGCAGAGTAAAGTTGACCAAAATCTCATGGTGTGAGTGCAATTTATTCTAAAATTTAAAAACCTAATTCAACGACTACTTCACTTATGACTACTTCACTTGTAGCTTACTACTTCCTACCCATATTAAAAGTCTATCTCAGTAACACAGTTATCCAAATGGACATAATTACCAAGATGGACTTTTAATATGGGAGGGAGTATTAAGTTAATAGGAGTGTTAGGACTCCTCTTTAAGTTATTATATATTCAATATATACATGGTTGTCTGCTGAAGCTGTGAAGAGAGACAAAACCAAGAGGAGATCGGAAATTAAAATGTATGTATAACAAGGATTTTATTGTTTTAATTCAATATGCATGTTAAACCATTAACCAATTTAATTGGTATGGAGATTTGTTCTGCTAATAAACGTTTGTGTTGGCATACTGAATATATATATATATAAGTGTGTATACATATATATATAAGTAGCAAGGGTTGCGGTTGGGAATTTGTAAGCGATGAACGTATGATTTGGAACTAAGAAATTGTCCCAATTTGAATCTATAGATGTCATAGTGATCTAAGGTTAATAATCTCATTATTTTAGTAGGATTTGAGGATAATGGAGGTCGGATTTGACTGAAATCGCAACCTAGGGTTTACTGTGACCCAGCATAGCAATGCCACTCGCTATGTAGGCGCGTGAAGTGCGTACTAATTCTGGGTTTGGTCTGTTAGGGTTGCATTTTGGGCCATTAGCACTCGCCCAGTCTAGAAATTTGGTCCACTTTCGGGCCATCTGAGATGAAATCTTAATAATTTGACGCCATCATATGGTTAAGCTATGCTACATGGATTCTTGGAAGGTAGGGGAATTACTCGTGTCTGACGCACGACACGTAGGCATGGGTATAGATTTTGTGTCCAACACTTTCAGTTGTATATGCACATAAAAAAATATATTCAATGATTCAATTTTATTCATATTATTGTTTCAAAACGAGTAAAATGCCTATATTGAACACCTTGTTACCTAAAGACGATATTTTACTATAGAAATAAAATAAAAAATATTAAATAATATGGATATTTAGTAGTGTCCATGTATATAAAATAAAAATATTAAATAATATGAATATTTAGTAGTGTCCATGTGTTTTTATCTATCAAGATTTAACATGTCCTAGGCATGGATACATACCCACACCCGAGACACCTACCCGAATCCATGTAACATAGTGGTTAAGTTATACTATAGTGACGAGTTCAATTAAATTTGTCTTTTACCACATGTAATTTTGTGGTTGAGATTTGTTTAAGTAATAGAAATGTCAATTAATATGTACCATTTTATTATAAGGTTAATTACAATTCATAAGATTTATTGAATTACATTGACTTAATCATAAATACACATGATAAGTATTTTCGATTAGTTAGAATGTTGCTTACTGGACTTTGTCAAGCTCCCATCCCTTTTTCCTGCCATTTTAGATGCAAGTTGATTTGGCACACTAACAATGTAGACATAAGGAAAAAATCAAATAGATCATTATGTTTGGTTGTTGGATGAATTTAAGGAAGGCAAACAATCGTAAGCTTTGCAACGTGACATCCACATTTATTGAGGTTAACTTTGAGTGTCATCTGTGGAACTATAATTTTTTTTCTCTGTTGCAGTGAAGTCACATATATAAGCTTTATATTAAGAATAATGTTATATTTGCGTTTTGTTTTTCTTCATTTAGTTATCTTCTTGTTACTCGCAGGTCAAGGCATTTGCATAAATATAAACAGGAGCAGGAGCACGAGCAGTCATTACAATAGCTGAACGAAAGAGTGATAAAAGAGCATCTGATAAAGGAGCTAGCAAGAATGGAGTCAATATTTTCCATTCCAGAGGTAATTCAGGCTTAGACCGTCGTGAAAGATGATAAGCTCTAAGTTGCCTACTGTATCCGAATTTGAGTATCTTCTGTTGGCTTTTCAAAGAGACAATAACAATGACAGAAATATATATCATTAGATTCTTTCAGATTGATTAACTTGATTTATGTGATTGCATAATTAATAGAGCGTCATTTGGAATTTATATATTGACAAGATTTTGGAGGAACGTTTGTCAAGGAATGTGACTTACAGTCGAAAGAGGAAATCCACGCCAAATATTACTTCTGTTGAGGTGAGTAATATAAATTTTTAGGTTCTATTGTGATTAGATTTCTATAGTCCCTACATGTTAATGTATGCTACTCTGCAATAATAGGAAGCAAAATTTATCCCGACCATTTTCTTTGAAATGAATATAGAATGACGGTATCACAGTGGATGATCGAATTAGTAAGTTGCCAGAGGAAATTCTTTGTTCTATCATATCATTGCTGACTATGAGAGAGGCCGTCAGTACCAGCATTCTTTCAAGTGGATGGAGATACTTGTGGAGAACTTCTGTAAACCTTGTTTTTGATGTTACAAACATGAATGTAAATGATTGTGGAGATTCCGGCTCTGAAAAGCTGGAAAAGCATAGTTTTGTGAGATGGGTCAATCAAATTTTATTATTACATTGTGGTACGAGTATAGAATCGTTCATGGTGGAGTTCTGTTTGGGAGTAGAGTACAGTTCTGACATTGATCAATGGATTCAATTTGCCGCGGATAAGAAAGTTCAGAATCTTGATATAAGGTTGTCCCAAAAAAATGGTCTTTAAAAGATGCTCAAGAGCTCTATATATTTCCTTATTGGCTATTTACGAAGGATGGTGGATCAACCTAAAAGCACCTGTCTTTGAGCCTTTGTAAGTTTAGTCTTCCTCAAAGTTTTAGCAGTTTCAGCTCGCTCGCATCCTTGACTTTGAATAATACTAGGCTGACTGAAGAAAATGTTCAGAACATCTTATCCAATTGCTTATGCCTTGAGTGGTTCAGTGTGACATTTTGCTTCTGTCCAACACCATTGAAGTTTGCTGCGAGAGGACGTTGTTCTCTTAAGCTAAGACACTTAAATGTATCTGCTTGTGTAAATCTAATGGAGATTGAGATTTGTGATGCCATAAATCTTGCATCATTTGAATACAGGGGAAAATTGTTGCGCCGTTTATTGTACAAGAATAAAGCAGAACTTGCAAGGCTTTCTGTCTGTAGTTTCCTCCCCTTAGTTGGTGTGAGTTATGATCTTGGCAGCCTTTCAAGCGATTTTCCTAAGCTTGAAACTTTGATATTGACCTCATCTCGTCTAAAGGTATTTCAATGCATTATTTCTATTTAATGTTATTATTTTTCAACATTAGTTTCTTGTCATCGTACTACTTTGATCATATTTATGTCTATTTATGTCTATACTATATATATATATCAATCTCTCTGTTTGTCCCTCAGGAAGATACGGTACCTAAGCATTTACCAGCATTCACTAAACTCAAACATTTGGTGTTAATGTTCATTGGACCACATCCAAAAAGCCCCTTGGAACTGATCTCTTCATTGGTGAAGGCATCTCCTTTCCTACAAAAGCTTGAGCTTCACGTAAGTCTTGTTCTATGCATTGAGCACATGAAGGTTAAATGGTTGGAAGGTGAATTAATGGAGTTGTGTTCCTTCAATTCTGTGCACCAAAATATGTCCCCTTATGCTAACTATCTGTAATGCGATTATAATAACCCATGTTTACTATTGTTTTGGTCTGTTTGTTTGAACATCATATATGTTAACTAGCATCTACTCCAAAAGCTTAAGTTGTTAGAGAGAGTGTAACTTAAATATATAAATCATTCGTCACGCCCCCTTACGTGTGGCCTTCTTTTGGTCCAACACATGATACCATGTTAACTATCATCTACTTCAAAAGCTTAAGCTATTAGAGAGAGTGTAACTTAAATATATAAATTCTTCTACAATATAACGTCTTATGGATGCTTTGACTTGGTTATAGATAGGGCCATTTAATTTTCGCTTGCGTGGCGGTTTGTGATTAGCTGGGACCTGGGGACTACATGATCCTGGACCATGTATTAATTTTTGGTTATGAAGAAGCGAATTGTCGGTTTTTTTTTTTTTGGCAACTAATTCCCATAATGAACTTGGGGAGACTTGAATCATCTACCTTTGACTTTGAAAGAATAAATACCTAAGTCATATAAAGTGGGAGTGAGAGCGAATTTGAGAGCGAGAGTGGGAGAGCGGCAAAATTAAGTTATAAGGAGGGAGAATTTGAGCGAGAGCGCAGGTGGAGCATGAGAGCAAGAGCGCACGCATAGCTGGAGCGCAACACCTGTTTTGAAGGATTGTATGACTTAGGTAAATACTACTAGGACACGAGCCTTGGTGGTGCCATCTTGGAGTTAAAAAGAGAGAATGAGAGACTCTATGCTTGTTCAAATGTTAAAGAAAAAACAAATGAAAAGATTTGATGGGAATATAGTTAGCATTGCTTTACTAAGAGAAAGCTGCACATTCAATAATGAAGAAACATTGTTATCATTACTGTTCTTTCTTGATTATAAGAATAAGAGATGTCCAAAGTGTTGGGAAACGTGTAATATTTTAAAAACTTTTTGAGGGATTTAAATTCATAGATCTTGATTCATCACATAGAGACAAGTTTTATGTAAAAATAAAACATAATGTATCATTCAATTAAAAGATTGAATACTTATATCAAGGTTTGAGTAAACCTTAGATCTCTACTCTAAAGTGAATGTTCTCACTTATTATAGATCCCTTTTGTTAGACACCTTTTCCATGGATCTCCATCTTCTTGGTAATGTTCTTGCCTTTAGGAATCACTCATAAACCTCCATGAATGACCCTGGAAAACTAGGCTTGTGGGAGCCTCCATTAGATGAGAACACTAACCCTAATTTTCTAGAGAGAGAAAATTTATTCCTTTTTCCTTCTTTCCAAAAATCACCCCCAAAATAT